GGTGGCGCGTTGGCAGGATTCCCATGGTGGTCTAAAATGACAGAATGTTGTTGGAGATGAGACGGACCCTACGGTGTTGTTGGATTTCAGTTTTGAGCAATACAGTGAAATTTGGACAATTTTGCGTTTGGACGTTCAGGTGCCGGGTGTTGTTTCATGTTAACGGAAGCTTTGGGGAGGATTGCAATAGTCCCAAAGTGGTGAATTTACAGCTCTCGATATTTACGGACCTTCAGAAGTGGTTCGTTCGGTATCGTGTTCTTTGCCTTTTATTTGCAATTGTTGTTATCGTGTAGAGTAACGATTTATTCTTCACATTAGAAATCATCGCCTGGGATGACGTTATGTTTGTGATTACCGTGAAGGGATAATCATTGCCTGTTGTTAAACCTAAGAATTACATGTTAATAATTTGACTTGAATTCTATGTGAATTGGTTGCCAATTAAATTTTTTTCATTTTTAGAATTGCACGTGACCTAGGAAAGTTTACTTGACTATTCTGCTTGAATTGTGTCGGTGCTTTACTTATGGTCGTTGTTGGTTGTATTTTGTGTTCTGTACATTTTTGGGTAAAATTACGACACATTATGAGTTGTGCATATTTTAATGAAAATTGTGGTTTCTTAAATTTGGCAAAAGGAAAATGTTTTTTCATAAAACCTTTTGATGACAAATGTGGTCTAAAATAAGTGTGAAAATTAATATATATTTCAACTGCGATAATTTGGATATGGTTGAAATAGAATGTCCTATGGATGACAATAAAATGGAAGATTAGGAGAGTGGTGAATTCTGTCATTAGGTCGAGTGATGACCTGTGTGAGGTTTATTGAGAGTAAACCTAGTTACTGCACGAGTATATGTGTGTAACCCTTTCTGCATGTGTGATCACTTAATTCTGTTGCATGCTAATATATTACACTTTCAATGTGTTTAATGGCATAAATTAAAATGATCTTATTACTTTGTGTAATGTGTTTGCATTCATAGTTGGTTGATATCTATGGTGTACTCCATTTTACTCTGTGAGTGGTGTAAGAGAGTGTGGTAGTGAAAAGTTAGAGGGGTGGCCATTTTCTCCTTCGATCTGCCCTTCATATTTCTACCACGACCCCTATCTTGTTGTCTCCCACATATAACCAAAACTTCAGCATGAGCCGCTGCCGCTGTAGAAGGACAGTCAGTCCTGCGCCACCGTCACATTTGTCGTTCGATTCAACCATCAGCATTTTCCACCGGCCACTTCACAAAAGCTGTGAGCCACTTCTGTTTCCACTCGATCCGTCGCCTATGCCTAATACAGATCTGCAATGTTTTCTGAGATTGACCCTAATAACAAGCCACCTAAATCTGGACTCGCCGATGCGGAGGTTGTTCTGGCTAGATCTTCGTAAACGGTGCAGATCTGTATTTCCTTCTTTTTTTCTTTAGTTTTGGAGTTGGATTTATCGGATGGTTGTGGTGGTTGTATGCTATTTTTTGCCGATGGTTGCAGATCTGTGGTGGTTTCTGTTGAACAGGATTGTTGGATTTGTGTGCGTGGGTGCGGTGTCGTGGTGTTGGCGGGGGATCGGGCAATGGTAGTGGTAGTGCCACGTGGTTATCTGTGACTTAGTATTTAGTTATCTGTGCACTGCAAAGTGTGGATCTGAAGTTGGAGGCGGCGGCGGCGGCGATTGTGGGTTTTGTGTGTGATTTGTGTGTTTTCTTTGGCTGTGCGTGTGGGGATGGGGTCTTGGGGGGTGGTGATAGTGGTGTTGGGAAGGGTATGGTGTTGGTTTTGAGGTGTTGATGGTGCCGCTGGTGCAGGCGGTGGCAAAGTGGTAGTCACAAATAATTTGGTTGTTTGTGAGCACTAATTTGGTTGGTTGGCGAC